CCCCCCCCCCCCCCCCCGCGTCACAGTGACAGCTTCAGCGCGTGTGAGCGCTCCCGCCGCCAGTGCCCCCGCGCCTTCTTGTGTCTGGCAGGCTGGGAGGTTTGTTTAGGCTTTGCCTTCGAGATCCAGGTCTCAGGAGGAGAAAAGGGAGGCGGGGCTGGGTGGGTGGCGGCGTGCTGTAACTCGGGGGCTTTCTTTTGGGATAGGGACAGATGTTGCTGAAAAGATGAACTGCTTTTCTTAACTGTGTCTTGTGTCCTGGACGGACGGAGGACTTATTCTGTCGGGCCCAAGACCAGAGTAGGAAAAAGAATGAGCGCCGCCTTCTGCAGACAGTCTGGGAAGGGGTCTGTCTGTTAAAGGGCCCGAGGCCGGGTGCCAGACCCAGGGGCACCCGAACCCCTTGCGAGAGTGGGCTGGCGACGCAGCGGGCTCCCCGAACACCTGACACTTGTTGAAATGGCGACACTGTCCCTGAACCCTGCCGAAGCGAAGACGTGGCGAAACTGTGAAGGCGAGACCTGGTCGCGGCTGGGCGGAAGCCCAGCAGCTCCCTCGTCCAGGGCTTTGCGGGAAGAGGTGCGTGTGTCAGGTTGGCAGCAGCATCTCTTCCTTGGGATACTTAAGTGTATATTCAAGATGGTCTAGATGGGTGGGATGGGGGCGGGGAGGGATGGCCAGGAGGGAGGGGATATATGTATACATATAGCTCATTCACTTCACTGTACAGCAGAAACTAACACAACACTGTAAACCACTTCTACTCCCCCCCAAATACACTGTGGAAGAGTGAAGTGCGCTCTAACACATCCGCGGCAGGGCTCGGAAGAGTTGTGTTTGTCCCCACCAATGAGCAAAAGTGTTGCGAGCGCGGGGCTGGGCAGCTCCCCCGGGGCGCGCACGTCTGCTCTGTGGGCGCGTGTGCTAGCCCCGAAACTAGGGAGGCGTCAGGAGGCTGGGGGTTCCAGCGGGAGTCATTCCCCGCCCCGGAGAGGGTTCGTTTTCACCCGGTGGGTCTGGAAACCAAACGGCAGCGAAATCAGCCCTGAGGCTGTGCCAGGGTGGTGGCGGGGGTGTTACTGGGGGAGGTGGCACAGAGTACAGACAAAAGTCATTCAACTCATCACCGAGATGGCTTAGGGGAGACCTTGAGAAGGTTCAAGAGTCTGCTCGAGGCGGAGGCCCTGGTCCTGGACTGTTCAGGAAGCCCGGGGATGGTGAGGTGGGATATCGGGCATTAGGAAAGTGCCAGCAACCGGGTTCCGACCAGGGCTAGGAATGTAGATTTGCAAGACCGCGCCGGAGGAGGTGAGCACTCTGTTTTTAGGTTCTCAGCACCTTTGCAGCAGTCCCTCCCGGGGCCTACACTTTCCCTTGGAACAGACCAAACCCAGTTACGCTCCCGTTAATGATATCTATGCAGCTGCGCGTCCACAGAGAACCCAACTCTGGTCGTGGTAGGTTCAAAGGGGATTCCAGTCCCGCACCTTCCCGGGACTTGACGGAAGAGCACCTCGCCGAGTCGGGGAGGGAAACTGCCCCTGTCGGGTATGCCCGGGTCCAGAGGCAGCAGGGGCACCAGAGATTTTTGCCCACGGGGAAAGGCAACCTGCCCCTCCGCGAACCCAGCCTCTCCCCGGTTCCACTTCTCTCTTCTGCCCTCTCGGCGCTTCGGTTCCCTCTAGTGTCCCCTCTTTCTAGTCTCACCGCCTGCTCTGGGGTCCAGCCGCGCCCCCTCTGTCTCCGCGCCCCCTCTGTTTCCAGCGCCGCACAGCCCGACGCACCCGCTGGCGACTCAGGCGCCACCCGCCCGCTCCCCCCAGGCCCGCTCCCCCGCTTACCTCGGATCCGGTCTCCGCAGACCTCCAGTTGGACATTAACTCCAGGTGCCCCAAGTCCCAGCCAGGAGACCCATCCGGGCCGAGGGCAGGAGCGCGGAGGCCCGCCCGATAGGTCAGGGGCACGAGTTCGCAATCCTGGGGCTGCTCGGGGCAGCAAGGGCGCGCAGGAGGCGGCGGCCAAGGCTCCCGCCGCCGCCGCCGCCGCCGCCGCCGCCGCGAGAAGGGCGAGGGATGCAGACAGCTCCCCCGCCGGCTCCCCGCACCCCCAGAAGCCGAGGTCCGAGCAGCCGCCGCTGCCTTGGGTGGGGGGTGACAGGGCTGCGCGCGCCGCGCTTTTAGCCCGGGCTGCGCGGGCGGGGGGCGCGGCGGCCGGTTCAGCGGCGGCGGCCGCGCTCTGCGCCTTCTCGGGGCGCAGCGCCTGGGAGCACGAGACGCGCTGGGCTGATGCTGCCGCCGGAGCTGAGGTCTGGCCTGGAAATCCGAACGAGACACCACGTCAACCGGCGCCGAGAGTCCCGTGAAGACATGAGGGCGCCAGGAGCGCAGGCTGGTCCTTGAAAGCCCGGTCCAGGGGGCCGGGTCGGGGAGGGGAGGCGCGGGGCCCCGTGAAGGGAGGGGTCTAAAGTCAGCGGTGGCGGGGAGGGAACGGAGAACAGTGAGGAGGCGCCCGAGCTCCCGAGGCGGGGGCTCGGGGTGCGAGTGGGTGACGCGAGGCGCCCCTCCCCGGGGTGCAGGGAGAGAGCGCTCAGCGCGTCGAGACGCTGCCGGGCTCGCGCCTCCTCCTCGCCGGGTAGATCCGAAGGAATGTGCGGAGCTCTGCGCAGACGAACCGAAGGGGGCAATCCGAACTTGACCGCGGCGCCCGCGCCCGGCTTCGCCCTCGCGCCTCGCTCTCTGAGCCGGGGCTCTGTCGGGTAGAGGGCTACCCTGGGCTTTCCTCGCGCCTGTCGAAGCCTCTCCTTCCTCCTCGGGTGTCTAGCCCTCTGGCTCCTCTTTAGGGCAGAAGGCAGTGGCGAGGAGAACAGCTGCTGGCCGGAGTTCTAGCACTGCGAAGGAGAGATGCGCAGCGGCCCAGCGAGGGAAGCCGAGTGTTTGCCAGGGCACGCTGAGAGTGGGGAAGAATTTATAGCGCTCTCACTCCGTGACGTGCCCTCCAGTGGCTTTTCTGATTCGCTTTCTGACCCAAACACACGTTAGTTTAGTCCCCATGCTAGGGCCAACACGGTCTCCAAATATCTGCTGGCTGAAGTCAGAGGCTTTGCGTATCATGTATTACATGGCAGGCAATGAAGAAGGCTTCCGAGGCTGGAGGCTGGCCCGCTCCTCAGTCCTAGGCTCCATTTTCATGCTGTTGTAACATAATACCAGACGTGGGGCAGGCACATACATTCAGAATCCCAATTCCAGAGGCGTAAGATCACTTTATCAGGAACAGGTCGGGGGAGGTTGGACTAAAACCTGCTGTCATCCAGATTTTCGAAAACGCAGATGGGAAACCTAAGCAAGCAGTCCCTTGGGTGCTGCGTTTCCAGTGAGCAGGGGCCCAGCGCCTATTCCTGTTATTTGTGAGACCTTTTAGGAATTCCTTTTGTTGGTTTGCTTACCACCAGAAGCGCCAGAGCCTTCTTTCGTAGAGGACATGAGGAGGGCAAGTCCTTACACACCCTGCACATGACTCTCCCCATAAATCCGTCTCATTAACCCAGGGCATGAAATTAGCTCTACCTTTAAAATAATGTACTGTGTAAGGTATGTCTTTGCTAAGCAGAAACCTGTTTTCCGGAAGCCACTGGACCTGGATTCAGTGGGACCTCTTTTATTTTATTAGTTGGGGCCAGGGAGAGCGTAAACAGGCTCAGTTTACATCCATGTACCTCTTATTTTATGACTCATCCGGTTGTTGGGGAGTACATGTTCCTCGAGTAGCTGATACGGACGATAGACAGTGGGAATGTGTGTGGAAACGTGGGGGGGGCAAGATCCTATATTATTAAACTTCTTAAAAGTCAAAGATCAGCTACTTTGGAGGTTTGTCAGTGAAGCTAGTGTGGGAGGGAAATTGTTCTTACTAAGGTTACTGTGATTTAAGATTAAGCAGAGTGAAAATCAAGTCATCCAAACATACCTTAGCTGAAATGAGGATGCCTACTGTAGTTCTGCAGAATGCGACACTTCCTTCTTTGGTAGATTACAGTAGAAATGTAGATGGACTTGGAAACGGCATGAGCTTAATATTTTTATCCTAGTTGAACATTGTTTTTGGAATTCGAAGGCGACCGTAGTCAGTGTTCTTACCATGAATGATTTCTTCATTTTCAGAAGGCTTTTCGCTGAGGGTGGTCATGGCTTCCAAGCACCTGCAATGATTTAGTGCTCATGATGTGCCAGGCAAAGTGTTAGATCCTGGGAATTGTGCTTGACTGGGCTTTTGGGGGGGTTGCAAAGCACAAATACCACTGAGTTTACCCTATGTAATGGGAGTTCCCTGTGGAAGGAAGGCTGACCGGAATCTTCACCACTCAGCCACGTGTCTCCGAAAAGCCTTCCGGAAAGGCCACCCGGCCAGGCCTCACGAAAACTGGATTGAAGTTCAGGAACTGGAAGGTCATTCAGGATCTGGCTCTGTGGCTGCGTTATCTTGCCGCCCCCTGAGCCGTAGGCATCTGCCGTCCCTTCTAACAGGCTTAGCCGCCAAGGTGATTCAGCTCCTTCTCTCTCTGTTTTTCTCTGGGTGTCTCTTGGCTTCTGCTCCTGCTACCAACTGCTCAGCTCTCTGTTGATCTCACATTTAAACTCCTTTAGTGAAAGGATCTAATTGGCCCTGCTGGGCACTAACTAGGTGCTTGAGATGAACTGAGCTTTTGGGTCAGGACGTACGGGTTACTGGATACCCTGCAGCTCAGCAGCACTTGGTCAGGTGCTTATTCCCGGGCTAATCACCCATGTTCACGTTGTTGGGTTACGTGGCTCAGAGACTGGCCACCTTCGCTTAAGAGCCTTCCTAGAGCCTTCTTGCCCTCCCTCCACAGGAGTTGGGCCCCCAGAAGTAGCCGCGTTAATGGCAGGCACTTGGAGTTTAACAAACCTCTGTCTACTACAAGACTGAAGGATGAATAAGATACAACTCCTGGCTCTCCGTACGCTTATCGTCTCTAAGGAGAGGGAGATGTGGACACAAGTAATCATAGTGTAATGTGGTAAATGCTGTGATAGAGGTATATATGAGGAGCTCAGGTCTGATCTTTACGTGGCCAGTGAAACCCTGGAGAATTGCAAACACATACCCATGCCTAGGCCCTATTCCTGGGCAGTTAAATGAGAATTTCTTGGGTAGTGGAGCCCAGGAATTGGTATTTTGTTTTAAGTTGTTCCAAGTGCAGCCAGGGTTGAGGGATTAATTAGCTTTTTTTTTTCTCTCAGTGATTATAATCATTATCATTACTATGATTCTTTTTGAGAGCAAAACTAAGAGGCTCACCTATTTTGATAGGTTCTAGGACTAAGACTCTTCCAAAATATTAAATCCTTTTGAAATACTACTAATTATCTTAAATAGTAATATAAAGGAAAGTACAAAATTAATTTAAAGAAAATACTCCTAGTTTTGAAAGAACATTTATTTGCGTGATTACAACATTCAGGTGAATGCAGAAAAGGTGAAAAATCCTAAAATTTTTCAAGATCCCCGACCGCAAAGCCCAACATTTAAAAGTACTATAATTGGGGGCTTTCCTGGTGGCGCAGTGGTTGAGAGTCCGCCTGCCGATGCAGGGGACACGGGTTCGTGCCCCGGTCCGGGAAGATCCCACATGCCGCTGAGCGCCTGGGCCCGTGAGCCGTGGCCGCTGGGCCTGAGCGTCCGGAGCCTGTGCTCCGCAGCGGGAGAGGCC